AAATATCTGACCAAATTAACTTAAGGAAGAAAGGTTTACTGTGTAAGGCTACAGAGGGGAAGCCCCGGCAGCAGAGCCTCAGGCAGCTGGTCACATGACATCAGGAGCATGTGGCAGCTTAGTCACATGACCTCCACAGCCAGGAAGCAGAAAGAGATGAACGATGGTGCTCAGCTCACTTCCTTCTTTTTTGTTTTTGTTTTGGTTTGCTATAGAGACAATGTCTTACTATGTAGTTCAGGCTATCTTGGAACTCACTCTGTAGACCAGGCTGGCCTCGAACTCACAGATTCTCCTGCCTCTGCCTTCCAGGTGCTGAGACTAAAGGTGTGTGCCACCACCTCCCGCTTCACTTTCACCTTTTAATTCGGTGCAGGACCTCACCCCCACACTGTCACCTACCACCATCCTTCTCTGCTCAGCTACACTCTCTCCCAGCACATCCAGTGGTGTTTCCATGGTGATTCCAAATCAAGTTGACAGTTAAGTATAACCGTCCGTCAGAGGGGAAAATGCACAGGAGGTTTTTTGTGTATTTTTAAATGTTTCCTGTACAATATTTTTAGATTAATCATTGAAACTTCTGTCACCGTGTGTCTTAAATGTGCACATGATTTTGTAGTGCTCAGAATTATTCTTTCACTCACTTTTTTTGAGATGTATATTTTATTTTGTGTGTATGGGTGAGTTTTGTTTTGCTTTGTTTTTATTTATTGTTTGTTTTGAGACAGATTCTCACTATATATCCGTGGTTGGACTTGAACTCACAGAGATCTACTTCCCTCTGAATACCCAGGGCTGGGATTAAAGACGTGTACCACCATGCCCAATGTATGGATGTTTTGTCTAAACAAGTGTCTTTGCACCATGTATGTGCAGTGCCTGAGGAAGCCAGGAGAGGGCATCATCAGATCAACTGGGACTGGAGTTACAGACAGTTGTGAGCCACCCTATAGCTGCTGGGAATTGAACTCAGGTCCTCTGGAAGAGCAGTCAGTGCTCTTAACCACTGAGCCATCTCTCCTGCCCCTGGCTCATCCTTTCAATCGTTGGTCATGAAAAAGACTCAGTCACCAGGATTTGTTCTCATAGTTCTTCAGGAAGCATCACTCATACCTTGAGGCAGGAAGCACAGCTCCATCCACCGCAGCCCTTGGCTGTGTGGGACGTTTGGAACTACTCCATGGCTGGTCCAGCCTCCTGGAGTTCTTCCAGTTGGACAGAAAATGAAGGAAGTTATGTCAGACGAGTCACTGTACCGAATGTTGCTCCACAGAAGCACTTCCTCTAGATAATTAATGGAAGACTGACAGGAAGACCGCTCCTGGGATAATTAGCAGGAGGTTAGAGTGGGAACTTTGAGTTTTCTCCTCGTTCAGCTAATCCCAGCTATGGAAAGATTTTACTTATTTTAAATTTATTTATTTGCGTATGCTGACATTTCTTAGCTTATATTTCATCTTTTAAAAGCTGACATAGGATATTAATTTTTTTTGTTATTAAAATGTTTTCTAAAAACCTAGGAAATCTAGCCTACAGATGAGACTGAAGCCCATGGAGCTTTTATCCCGGTTGTGAAATCTGTTAGAACCCAGAATGCCTTCTCTATCTACATCTTTCTTAAGTTGTTTCTAGAATGCTCTTTTCCATTTGAGATGTGGAACCAGTGTATTGATGATCTATGTAGCTGAACAGCACAGTAAAGCATTTTCCTAGCTCTCAGGTGCTTATAATCCAGGTCAAGGACCAATCAGAAGACAGCTGAGGCACAGTGTGGCACACCCTGATCGTCAATGTGATCTGCTTGAGACCCTCCTAGGAGACTCTAGCCAGAGGAAGTGTGTCACCAGGGGCTCTTCCTTGGGGCTCTATCGTGCTCAGTTCCCTTCCTGTATTATATTTCTCTGCTTCCTGGCAGTCATGATGCGAGCTTCTCTACTCCACCACACTCTCTCCTCCACAATGGACTAACACCCTGAAACCACAAACCTGAACTGATCCTTCCTCCCTTCAATGTCTGTGTGAGGTACACTGGCCAAAATAATAAAACATATGCAAATAACTAAGCACATCACAAGAGCAGGAAAGGGGGATGTGTGAACATGGTTTGGGAAGAGATTTGAATATGAACCTGAAGCCTGGATAGGATAGGATATTAGTGGAATGTGGGAAGAAGGGCAGGGAGGGGAGTGGTCAAAGAGTCTGAAACAGAGAGCCCCCTCCTGTCTGGTGCTGAAGCTGTGACAGTTTGGAAATGGAAGGTAGGGATCTCTTAAGGGGTGTGCAGGAAGCAGGCAGGAGCTGATGCTTAGACTGCTATGTGGGGCCGAGTGGTGAGGTGAGGGGTGCTGGCCAGCTGGCTCGTGCTCAGGTCTAGGGCCAAGCTGACTGCCTTTCCTGAATGCTGAGACACCCCACTGTTCTCACACCCAAACCCCGTTTCCATGGAGTCCTGTGGAGTCTCTGTTTCCCTGTCCAAGCATTCCTAACTGATGTACATACCCTATTCTGTTTCATCCTTGCAATCATCCTGCAAGACGAGCCTCATTATTAGCCTTTCACGGGCCACTTAGGTTTCAGGGAAGGAATGAGGCTTGGTGAGAAAGTTGCCGCAAATCAAGTCATGAATCCTGGTTCCTTGGTTCAAGTCCGGATCTGATTTCAAAGCCCAGGGTCTTCGGCGTCTCTCCAACGGTACCCTGAGTGCACTTTCCCAGGGTGCCAATAACAGAGGGTGCCACAAACCGTGCAGCTTTGAACGACAGAAATTGATTGTCTTACAGTTCTGGAGGCCGGAAGCTGAGATCAAGGGGTCACCAGGGCCACCTGCTTCAGAAACCTACACAGATCAGCCTCTTCCAGTGACCCTCGCCCCCCCACAGCTTGGTGCTGCATTTCAGCCCTCCATGTCACCCACATCTCTGCCTGCGTCTCTTCTCTTTTCGTAAGGACATAGTCACCAGGTTGGGCCCCTGCCTACTCCTCATGACCACCCATCCTCTCACTTGTCTATGTAAAAAAAAAAAAATCCTCCTTCCACGCAAAATCAAGTTCACAAGACCTGGAATAGTTCAGGATCTTTTCCCATAGGGAAGCAATTCAAGCCACCACATAGCGTCTCTTCAGAGAATGCAGCCCATGGGAGAGAGGACCAAGACAGGGTGAGCCAAGAGAGGAAGGAGACGGCTGCCTTTTTTGTATATTGGGCTGTGACAGGTAAGATGTTCACAGAACATAATGCTAATTTAAGAAGAGTTATCCATCCAGATATTTACATTCTATTTTTGTTTGTTTTGAGACAGGGTCTCGTGTAACCCAGGCTAGCCTCACACTCACTATGTAGTCCAGATTGACCTTCGACTTCTGTTTCCTCCTGCCCCCACTCCCTAAAGGCTGGGGTTATAGGGATGTACCAACATGCCTGGTTTATACGATGCTGGGGATTGAACCTCGGGCTTCATGCATGCTAGACAAGCATTCTACCAACCAAACTGCATCTCCAGACCCAAACAGTTAAATCTTTGATAAACTGCACCAAATCAAACCATACAGGAGCCCCAGAATCGGTGGAAGCAAGGAATGGAGGAGAAAGAGAAGGCAACAGTCAACCCAGATCAACACAAATGGCCGTCTGTTCACGGACCACTGAGCAAGCACATCGCAGCAGCATGCTCACCCAGGAAGCTTCAGCTGCTATGCGTCATTATAGATGTCTGTTTGAGTTCTAACGCCCGCTCCACATGTTTCCTCCTGACTTTTGCTCTGTGTCTTTGGGTGAGTTTGGGTGAAAAGGTAAGTTTACTTACCAGACTTGCAAGGGCCAAGAGCCAAGACATCCGGCCTGCGCCTTCATCTTGGACGTCTGCAGTGTATCTTTTCAAGCTCACCTCCTTCGGGCAGAAGCAGATGTCACTAAGCAATGAGGGAGGAAGGGGTGCCAGTCTGTAGCTGAGAGGACAAACAGTATTGTTACCAGGAAACAAAGGTATCCTCCCTGGCTCTTAGTCTCATTAAAAAAAGATTTAAAGTTGGACTCAGAATGAGGGTCAAGGACGAATTTATTGAAGTTGCGGGGCGGGGGGGGGGGGACACAACAGGGGAAGGAAACTCCCATCCTAGCAGTGCCTGGGGAGCAGGGAGAGGGAGAGGGAGTCAGGTTTTTAGGGTAGGTGTGGAAGGCAGAGAAACAGTGGGAAAATCCAGAGCATCAGGAAAAGCATGCTTGGGCGTGCTGAGCCCTGGATCTGCATTCAAAGACATCTGAGTCCAGTCTCTTGTGTCCTCTGATTACACCAGAGACACGGGGTAGAAATAGAAGTAGATACAGCCTTAATAAGAAATGAAAAGCATGTCTGGCGGTGGTGGCACACGCCCTTAATCCCAGCACTTGGGAGGCAGAGGCAGGTGGATCTCTGTGAGTTCAAGGCCAGCCTGGTCTACAGAGTGAGTTCCAGAAAAGGTGCAAAGCTACACAGAGAAACTCTGTCTTGAAAAACTTAAAAAAAAAAAAAAAAAAAAAAAAAAAAAAAGTAAAAAGCACTCCCAAGAATGGGGAGCAGGGTATGAGCTGAGGTAAGATCCTGACAAGTGTGGGCCATGTGACCCCCGACCTTTTATGGGACTTTTACATGACATCCACCTCTCCTGAGTTAGTATATTCTGGGCTTTTCTCAAGCACGCCAGGGAAAGGGCTCAATAGGTAAGAACACTCGCCTCACAAGTGTGAGGACCTGAGTTCCAGTCCTCTGATCCCACATAAACCTACACACAGCAGTAAGCCTGTCCATAAGCCCTGCACTCCGACAAGGAGAGGCAGAGACAGGAGACTCATAAGCTCATGGGCCAGCTAGCCTGGCTTTCAGCAAACAAGAGACCCTGTCTCAGATGGAGCAATGGTGAGGACTGGACTTGAGGCCGATCTCTGACTTCACATTTGCGCCAAAATGCACATGCACCTACACACACACACACACACACACACACACACACACACACACACACACACACACATGCGTGTATAACATTCTGGATAAGCACCAATTTTTAGGAATGTATCACTTCAAGTGAAACCTCTTTCTTGCATGTGTGTGACATATGCATGTGTGTGCATGGGTCTGTGGGTGCATGTGTCCATGAGTGCATCTACGGATGTCACGGAATCCAGTTGCATATACTGTTCTGTGGAACCCAGACACTCAGTTATGTCTTCCAGTCCACCTGTGTCTTTAGATCCACAGCAGGGATGAGTAGGAGAGGAAGAAGGTTCACGCTACGTCTGGTAAGCAAATGATATCACAGACGCTCAGTGTGGTGAACTCCCACGTCAGGCTCATTTCTGTAGTCACGGCAGGAAAGAAGAAATGGAGATCAGCCTGGCACTGTGGCTTTCTAGGGCTGCAGCCGCTAGCAGTGTGCATGAGAGGTCAGTGACTCTCTCTCCCTCTGTGTGTGTGTGTGTGTGTGTCTGTCTGTCTGTCTGTCTGTCTGTCTGTCTGTCTGTCTCTTTGTCTTAGTCTCTCTGTTTTTCTCTCCCTGTGTGCATCTCTCTCTGTCTCTCTCACTGTATCACAACATGAAATTTTTTAGAGAGACAAAGCTCTTTCTGAATCAGTTTGGTCATCCAATCAGGGCCAGGCCTGGATTCCTCCTTTATTTTCTTTTCCCAGCTCCGGGGATGTGTGGATCCATTGCCATCCAGCAAGGGGAGGTTGTGGTTTTTATTTTATTTTATTATTTAAAAATGTGTGTGTGTGTGTGTGTGTGTGTGTGTGTGTGTGTGTGTGCATGTGTGTGTACTCTGCATGTAAAAGAACAGTCTTCAGGGGAATACACAAATGCCTGTGCCCCACAGCCTGCCTCAGGCATTCCGAAGAGTGCTTGGCCAGAGGATGGGAGTCAGTATTGAAGCCTCAATGAGTTCTGAAAAACTTAAGAGCAAGACTCTGCTCAGAAGGGCCCCAGTTCCCCCCGTATTTTACAGGAGTTTCGACCGAAGGGTCTTTCTGCAGCCTATCCGTGACCCCCTTACCACCCCCCACAAACCTCACCAGCCACTTCCAACACAAACGCAATCAAACAAGCTCACCTCCCCAGTCGCTCCCCTCTCCCTTTTCACTCTCCTTGACTATCCCCTGCCTTAGAACATGTGCACCCCAAGATAATGGACAGCCCCTAGCTCCCCGAAGCTCACCATCCCCTCCATACTGGTTGGGCTGATGCAGGGCAGAAATGTGGCTGATTTGCCACCAAGTTTCAAAAACCAATGAACCTGGCAGGGATCTGAAGCCAGGTTTCCCTCCGGAGTGAAAACCGGAAGGAACCTGCTCTTGGGTCTCCTGCCAAACTGACATGGTCATGAGAGGAGTCCCAGGAAGCGGCAAGAGCAAGTAGTACCGAGCACTGGAGAGACATGGGGGTCTCTCGAGGGGTCCTTGGTTGGTCCTGTTTCTGACTCTACAACATAATTGTGGCCCCGGGGCCTGTTACTTACCTTCACTTCACCTGAGGTAAGGTAGAAAGACAAAAGAATGTGAGAAAGCAACCCCTCAGCCCTGGAGTACGGCAGGAGCCTCTCCCCAGCTGAGAAGCAACAATTCTGAAACATGTTGATGTCCGTGGTCTGTGCTGCTGCAGAGGGCAATGTGTATATCCGTATATGGTCCTTCTGCAGCTGGGGGCTGTGTTGATGTCTATGGGCCAAGTTATCACCCAAGGCCATGTGGGTGTCTGTGATCTGTGCTGCCACCTGAAGCCCTGTGAACATCCATGGGCCAGGTAGCTGCAGGGGACCATCTTGGTGTCCATGGCCTCTCTTTCCCTGAAGGCCATGTTGATGTCCCTGGCCTGCACTACCACCCAGGGCTATGATGGTGTCCATGGCCCATGAGGCAGCAGAGGGCTGTGCTGATGTCCATGATCTGTGTTGCTGCAGGAGACCATGCTGAGGCCAGAGACACTGTGCAAGTCCACGGTCTGTGCTCCTACTGACTGTCAAGGGCAAGGAAGCTACGTTTGCAGTGGTGTTGATGACCACAGACTCTCAGTTGAGAAATAGGGACATAGTAACAGCCCCTACCCCCACCCCACTTCACCCCCCAAAAGTAACAGCCTAGACAGATAGCCATGGAAGTGAACTCTTAAAAAATTGTGGTAAGGGTGCTGAAGTGTAGTTTTTCACAGTTGATGGCTTCTGGTGGGGGTGGGGGTGGGGAAGGACTCAGTTTTCTTTAATGGGCTGGCCACTGCAAGTCTGACCATGCTCCAGTGAGTATATGGGCAACATAAATTGGACTTGATTTTTTGTTGTTGCTTTTTTTTTGGGGGGGGGAGTACACCTGGGAGGACTGGGAAGTGAGTGTGATTGGGATACATGATGTGCAATTCCCAAATAATCAATAATCAATAAGAATATTATGTTGGGAAAAAAAAAGAATTCCAAAGCAATTAACAAGAGCTTAAGGCTTTTCTTCCTTCCCAGTTGTAAGCCTATACTCTTCCAGGAATCTCACCAGAAATCCTGTATCCAGGGAAAGGACACGTCCTAACCTCCCGTGGAACCCTGGGGGTTCCTGGTTTTAAACCTTATCAGATCATATTCTATCCAAGTCACCCCCAGAACCACCCTAAATATCTCACTTACGGAAAAAAGTAAGGAAGAAAGAAGATTTCTTGTCAACCCTTTGAGATATCTCTTTTTTTTTTTTTTTTTTTTTTTTTTTTTTGGTTTTTCGAGACAGGGTTTCTCTGTGTAGCTTTGCGCCTTTCCTGGATCTCGCTCTGTAGCCCAGGCTGGCCTCGAACTCACAGAGATCTGCCTGCCTCTGCCTCCCGAGTGCTGGGATTAAAGGCGTGCGCCACCACCGCCCGGCCCGAGATATCTCTTGAAAGTCATCAAAATGGCATCTCTGCCCACGGCTGAGACAGACGCTGAGGGGTGACTCTCCCCTGAGAAGGCCACATCCGAGCTCTCAGGGTTCTGTCCCTTCCCTGAGCGCCTTTCTTTCCATTCCTAATACACTCCCAAACTGCTTCCTACTGGTCTGCCCTGAACTTCTTTACTGTGCTCCTTGAGTCAAGGCCCCTGAAAGGTTGAGGGAATTCCTCAGGCTGCTGGTGGTGACATCTGGAGCCCTGTCGCCCTCCCTGCCGCCGCTAACACACCTCTCCCCAATGTGGAGACCCTTCTGCACAACACCTCATCATTCTGGGATGCAGTGGGGAGCGTGTTAGGACAGGAAGGGCCTGGTTACTTTCTAGTCCTTGTTCTTTGGCTGTGGAGCTGAGCTGGGCAGAGAGGACAGGTCTTGGACTTGTCCCCTTGCTTCATCTGGTGGCATGACACACGGGGTACATTTTTAGAGACGATAGAAAGAAAATCTTCTACATTATTTTAGGCCCCTGAACTGTTTATTTTTTAGCTTTATTTTGGTTTATGTATATATGTCTATGGTTATGCTCCTGGAGGGTGCCCAGAAGAGGGTATCAGATCCCCTAGAGCTGGAGGTACAGGCAGTTTGGGAGCTGCCTAAGATGGATGCTAGGAACTGAACGTGGGGCCCCTGGGAGAACGGACAGTGTGCGTAGCTGCTGTACTGTCTTTCCAGTCCCAGGCTGTCTGAATTCCGAAGTCTCACTCTTCCAGCTCCAGCCTTGGCTTGCCCACATGGCCACACTTACTTAGCTTTCAACTGAGGAAGTGCTGGGGGGCTTGGGGAAAAGGGCTAAGCAGGGGAGAGCACTCGAAGAGCAAGCATGCAGACTGGAGTTCAAATCCCCAGCACTCAGGTAAGAAGCTGGGCATGGCCGCACTCACCTGTAACCCCAGTGGTGTGAGTGGCAAAGGCAGGAGGATGGCCGGGGCTTGCTGGCTGCCAGCCTAGCTCCAGGTTCACTGAGAGACCATGCTGTAAGGGACTAGGGCAAAGAGTGACAGAGCAGGACACCTGACTTCCTCCTTTGCCCTCGGCATGTGCACAGGTGTGCAAAGCAACTCACAGGCATGTGCATACAACATGCACGTGCGTGCACACACACACAGACACACACACACACACAGGTCTGTCCCGACTTCATGAAGGTCCATGAGTCCACGCAACTTCGGTGATGAGAAGTAAGCCCCGGCTTTGAAGTCCGACTTTCCAGCCTCTGGTGCTCACATTTACTTTGGGCAAGCCACTTCGTCTCTCTGAAGGTAGGTTCCTCACATGAAAACCCAGGTTCGGAGCTGGGCAATGGCTTAGCCAGTAAGATACTTGCCTGGAAACCATGAGCACTTGAGTTTAATGCCCAGAATCTATATTAAAGACAAAAAAAAAATCTACAAGTTGTAGCAAATACTTGTCATCCCAGTACTGAGGAGGAGGATGCAGGTAGATCCCTGAGCCTCACTGGCCAGTAGGTCTAGTCTACTTGGTAAGTTCAGACCAGTGAGAGAGAGAGAGAGAGAGAGAGAGAGAGAGAGAGAGAGAGAGAGAGAGAGAGAGACAGAGAGAGACACTCAAAAATAAATGGACAGTACTTGAGGAAGGCCACCTGAGGTTGTCCTCTGGCCTTTACACACATATGTGCACACACAAGCAAACACACGTGTACACACATACACTCAGACAACGGGGTTCAAAGCCAAGCAGTTGTCCCGAGTATGGAGTAAGAAACTCCTCATACAACATATGGGAGCGAGAGTGCCTGGTGCAGAGCAGGTGCCAATGTAAATATCCGATCCAGCTGTTCTTCATCCACACGTGTTTCTGATGGGTCAAAAGCACAGACCATAATAAACATAATGTTGCCTCTGTCTTCGCTTCCTTTCACTCCTGGGATCCTGCTTCAAATAGAAGGAATCAACAGTGACTGTCAGAAAACCCTGTTGAAAATGCCACTCATCCATTGAAATATCCTCTCCATTCAAGAATGCGATGATTAATTATTCATTGCTTTTGGAACTGAAAGCAAGGACGGGGCTCCCTGCCTAAAAGCCAGAGCTTGACAAGAGTAGAATTCCAACTGCCAGATTTTGGTCATGGCCTGGCTCCTACGGGATGCACCCCAAGTCTCAGATGTGCTGCCCTGGGAGGCGTGCAAGCTTCAGACGGAGTGATTGTTTTGTGCCCATCATTCCATGCCTGCACTGGATCTCTGGGAGCTATTTCCCTGCATGGGTGGCCTGAGTCCTTTGGCCTCCAGCCTCGTGGCTCATTCCAGCACTCTGGGCAAGCAGTAACCACCCCAATGCAAGTCTTTCTTTCATGCCTGAATGGCATGAGCAACTCATTAATTCTCCAGGGCCGAGGTTGGGGATTACGTCAGAGTCTTACATCCCACTGTGAGTGGTCTAAATGCCAGGGTAACGGTGTTTGCAGGGCTGCATTCGTGCTAGGAATGCAGACCTCTTAACACACAGTTCTGGAATATTCTTTTCCCTCATTGACTGTGCTTCTCCAGGACAGCAGGTTTCATAATGGAAGCTCCTTGTCCAGCCAGGACGCATGCACAGGAGAGGGTGGAGGACTCTTCTGGCCAAGAGTCCCTTCAGGGTAGGTGAGAGCTTGCTGATGTGTCCCCAGGAGGAATGGCGGGCAGAGCTCAGCCGTGGTGCAGTGTGGAGTTTCACACACTTCTCCAAAGGCGAGCTTCCTGTGGTGTAGACACTGAACTGCTGGGGGAGGAGGGGGCGTGTTAGGCCAGGGAGGCACAGTGACACATTTCCTGAGGCCCTGGGCTGTGTGTGCCTGCACAGCGGGTGCTGTGTGCCATCTGGTGGCCACTGGTTGACATTGCAGGCACCATCCGGGCCTTTTTCTCATTTATGACGCATTCATAGAAGGGACTCATGGGGGCTTTAAGTTCTGTTTGAAAATACCACGAGACCCCAGAAGAAGACAAGGAGGGCCAGATGCGTCGACTGCACCCATTCTTCATTCTCCCTCTGGATACTCACTGGCTCACCTTCGCTTTGAAGCAGACAGTGATTTTAATGGTTTCAAGGCCAGACCGATTGATTCCTTTTAGAGATGAGATCTTGAACTTATGACCTTTAATTTCTGATTCTCCCGTTTCTACCACCTAAGTGCTCGGATTATAGATGGACATCATCACACCCGGTGCTGGGGATCAAACCCAGGGCTTCATGAATGCTGTGTACACGCTCCAGCAGCTCGGCATCCCCAGCCCCTGACCAGCACCGGACAACATGAGTGTGGAGCTCTGAGCAGTCTGCCTGGCCTTAGGCCCCATACCCTGTTTTCCCTGTCATGGCCCCCCAACACTTGAGCACAGGAGTCCCCTGTCTCACCCCTGCCTGGCACATACAGATGTTCTTCTCTGGCCTTCTGAACCCCACACTTCCCAAGCTCCGTCTGTGGCCATCTTTGCACCCTCAGAACCCCAGCCTCACGGATATTCATGCTGACACCAGACCACAAAACATCTCCAGAGACACCCTGGGAAGGCTGTGGGGGTCGAGGTTCTAAGCACTGAAATGTGTTTGACATTGCGCCCATCCCCCACCCCCAGGCCTGTGAGCTGTACTGAAGACATTGCCCTTGATAAAACTTTAGGAAACACTGATCCAGCCTGCTGGCCTGACGCGTGACCACGTAGCTGTCTTTTCAAAACTGGAAGATGTCTCTGGCTGCCCTAGTAAAGTTCCACACACTGAATGGCTTCATCAATGTGAATTAATCTTTTCAGTGTTCTGGAGGCTAGACATCTGAGGTCAAGGTCCCCTTAGAGCTGGTGTCTCTGGGGACCTTCCGTCGGCACTGTACAACTGTCTTCCTTGTGTCCTCACTGGTCTTTCCTCTGTGACCGACTGTACCCTCGTCTCTTGCTTCTCGTAAGGACATCTGTCATCGTGAACTAGGACATGTCCTCCTGGCTTCTTTGTACTTAGTCACCTCTTCAAAGGCCCTGTCTCCAAATGCACTCACCTTCTAGGGGACACTCCCCGTCTGGGGCCTAAGACGAGAGCATTTCGCTACCACTGCCCTTGGCTGCCCACTTGACTTGATGGCAAGATCTCTTGCTGAGGACACTACACACATTGGGTACTGGAAATAGAGAACTCAAGTTGGTATTGGCCAGAAAGCTTCCTCCCTGTTGGCTAGCTCTTGCAGTACTAAAAGGTGCTATGTAGGCAGTCGGGGGTCATGTCATCAATGGATCAATGGTCTTACCAAGCTGAGACACCCCCTCTCCCCACCCCCCCCGCCCCATGAGTGGCAATAATTGTTCTGGGAGTAAACAACTGCTTTTGGTCGGGCTTAAGGCCCACTCCACAGGAGGAGACAAATGTCTGGTACTGCAAATCTGGCCAAGAACCCATGGTTGGGGAGCCCGACAGGCCCCTGAGACCTGCTTATTATCCTGCTAAATAATCCAACTGCCCTTTAAATTCATATTTCTGTACCATAGATTCATGCAGCTCTCAGACCTCATCAGAGAAGTATCTTCGTGCAGTAGATGGTGGCTAACACAGAAACTCACAACCACAGGGCAGAGAATAAATATCACTGGACGGCTCAGCAAATGGGACATCTGTATCATTCCGCATCCCCAAGGCTCAGGAATCATCATGGAAGATGGGGTGACGACTGTAAGAGCCAGAGGTCAGGGAGGACCCGGGTGAGAGTTCTTCTGGACATGACTGGAGCTGCACTCGGGAACTCACAGCCACTGTGGTCACAAGACCAGGCCAGCCGGCATCCCAGCACAAGGAGGGGGGAAGCTGATGCCTTCTGGAGGAGAAAGAATTCGTTTTCTTTAGGTGCACAGCCCCTAGTCGGCTAGTCAAGCACGCTCCAGTGACTAGTCCCACACTCGGGAGTAAGTGTGTTTAAAAGGGGGGGGGGGGTGCAAGGAAATAAACAAAATCAAGGGCATGAATTGGGGAGAGGGTGAGGACAGCGGTGGATCTCAGAGGAGTTAGGGTAGACAATGGGGGTGGACATAATCAAAATACATTGTAAGCATGTATGAGAATCTCAGGAAATTAATTAAAATACTATGTTTAAGAATACTTTACCTCATGAATTTTAGGAAGCCACAGTAATGTGGTATTTTAGGGGGTTGCTTTCTTGGAGTTTTTCTGAGGGGATGAACAGTGACTCCTGTGGCTTGGGCTGGCTGCCAACTCACTAGGTACCCCAGGATGACCTTGAATTTTGAGCCTCTTGCTTCTACCTCCTGAGTGCTGGGATGACAGGCGTGCACCCCCACATTTGGTTTTGTACAGTTCTGGGATTTGAACCTTTGGCTTTATGTGTGTGCCAGGCAATCAGTCTACCAACTGGGCCCCATCTCTAGGTCCTATTTTTGTTTGTTTGTTTGTTTTTGTATCTCTTGGTGAAATTTTGTGCTTTGGTAGAAGATAACATGCTCTTTAGAAAAGGGCAGACTGCAACCACTGGGCAATATGTTGCCACCACTTATGTGTAAATAAAGCTTTATTAGCACACAACCTTATTTATTTCTTCATATATTGTCTGTGGTGACTTTTATGTTCAATGGCACATGGAAATCTGTAGTTATGAAAGTCATATGGTTTGTAAAGCCCAGCATATTTACTCACTAGTTCTTTATGGACAAACCATGGACTCAACTCTACAACACACACTTCAGAGTCAGCTAATTTTGATCCTCTAGAGGCCCTGTATGGTTTGTTAGCTTTATGCCAATAGATAGCATCACATAAGAACCCTCACTCATAGACAAGAAGACAGTCTGGGGATGGGGTGCAGTTCACTGGTAGTGCATTTGCCTAGCATGCACATAGCCCTGTCTCCACCACCAGCACTGAGAAGGGAAGGGGGGGAGAGAAGGAGAGAGGGGCAAAAAGAAGCCAGGTTTCCTCTTCTCTTCAATATTCTTGCTGATGAAGCTCACCGACTTCGTTCTGCACTGACTATACTGCCTCACAGTTCCTCCATCAATGATGAAAATTCGTTTTGTATCTGTCTAGCAGTCATTTTACCTTGTGTTGACCCTTTAACAAACCAATGTTCGGTTTCCTGGATGTGATCATGCCGTGGGATTGGGAAGACGATGTTTTTGTTCTTAGAAAATGTATCCAGAAGCACTTAGAGTCATGATGCCCGCAACTGACTTCCAAACGGCTCAAGCTATGTGAGTATGTGTTTGTCTGCGTATCTATGCCTGTACCACAGGGAGGGGAGAGAGAGTATGAACAGCTATTGAGCCCAGCTGAAGGCTACAGGGGGTCCTTGCAAGCTGGATTATTCACTTAGTATTTCTGTAGCTTCGACAATTTTCAGAATAAAAAGGGGGTACATTTATGCTGTTCTGAGGGAAGCAGTCAGTTACCTCCACAGGGTTTTTCAGCTGTCTGACTTGTATAGTATGTACTACAAATGAAAGAAAATGAAATATTAATGTCGCTGTCGACAAGTGACCCCGTTTCTCTTAGAAGTTTCTTTCTTTTCCTTTCTCTCTCTCTCTCTCTCTCTCTCTCTCTCTCTCTCTCTCTCTCTTTCTTGTCATGGGGTTCTGGGGCCTCTTGCATGCTGGGAAAAGACTCTCCACTGACCTACATTCCCAGCCGTGTACCCTAGGCTGACCTCTGACTCACTATGTACCCAAGGCTATCCATGAACTGATCCTCCTGCCTCTGCCTCCCAAGTGCGGGGATGACAGGAATCCTCTGGTTTAGTTGATGCTAGGGATTGAACCCATGGCTTCAAGCTTATTAGGAAAACACTCTGCCAGTTGAGCCACACCTACAGACCTCTTCTAGAGTTCTTCTTCTTTTTATGTGCATTGGGGTTTTGTCTGCATATATGTCTGGAACTGGAGCTGGAGTTACAGATAGTGGTGAGCTGCCATGTGGGTACTGGGAATTGAACCCAGGTCCTTTGGAAGAGCAGCCGGTGCTCTTAACCACTGAGCCATCTCCCCAGCCCCTCTTCTAGAGTTCTTAATGATGTCGACTGACTGAGATGTTGAAGTGGAGCACCTTTGAGCTAGACACCTTACAGTCCCACAGGGTGCTCTTTTGTTCTTGTCTTTATTTATGATGTGTGTGTGTGTGTGTGTGTGTGTGTGTGTGTGTGTGTGTGTGTGTGTGTCCATGATGGTGTCTTTGTGGGTAAGTGGCACACTCACGTGCAGGTGCCTGCAATGGCCAGAGGAAGGTACCCGAGCCCCTGATGCTGGGGTTACGGGCGTTATGAGCCACCTGACACTGGTGCTAGGAACTGATCTTTAAGCAATACCTGTGCTCTAACCACTGGGCAACCTCCCCAGCCTCTCATAGGGGTCTCTTCAAAGAAGTAAGCCTCAGCGCTGGTGAGGTAGCTCAGTAGTTAAGGATTTACAGCGCTCTTTCAGAGAACCTGCGTTCAGTTCCTAACACCCACATGGGACAGCCCGATCTGAGGCCTCCGTGGGCCTCCCTGCAACTTATGCGTCCATGTCTCCACACAGGCACACATGCACACACATAAAAATGAATCTTCCAGAAAGAAGTCTATGTTTTGAGATGAACGAACCTGAAGTCAGCTTAGCAGCCGCTCACACTCATGCTCACACGGGCTGGGAACTGGGGTTGAGGTCCTGGTGTTACCACAGCTTTGCCTGCTCTTCTGCTGGCTTGGCATGTCAGGCTTCCATTGTCAGGGACCCCCATGAATTCCAGTGTGGTTGCTGGCGTGAGCCAGGGCTGTGGGATTTACTCCGATTTCACCCTCAGCCACAGAACAATGGGGCAGCAATGTACGAGGAGAGTGAGCTATATCCTCAGGCATAGTGCCGTTTAACATAAAGGTTAAGGACTGAAATTTTCTGCCTGAGAGAAGCAGAAAAAAAAAAAAAATGAAGTTTTGCAGGAGGCTGCCTGTTACATCTTTAAAAAGACACACTAAAAATAACTGAAGGGACCCAGCCACACAGGCCTCCTGGGTTGCACCATAGGAGTTTCTGACTGGAGAATCCTCATCCCAATAAACTACTGTTGAAGACCCAGAGGCCACAAACTTCAGGGTTTGTGTAGAGCCCTCCCTCTTTCATGAGGAGGCAGGGTTGAACAGGCGAGGATGTCCCCAAAGGCGCCCACAGAGGAGGAGGCATACCATAGAGGCTGAGCATCCTGGAGGCAAGATGTAGCTTTCACTTGGAGACCAGAGAATCCTGAAGTTGGAGTCAGCCAATAGCAAAGTCTAGCCACCACCACCACTGGCTCTAAAGAAAATGTCCTACTGGATGTGGTAGGCATCTGTAATCCCAGCATTTGGAAGGTGAAGGCGGAAGACCCTAGAATTCAAGGTCATCCTCAGCTATATATCAAGTCTAAGGCCAGCCTGGGCTACATGAGATCCTGTCTCAAGTGAAAAGGTAAGGGAGGGAGGACCAGGCGATAGTACAGTTGGTAAAGTGTTGGCCATATAAGCAGGAAGACCAGAGTTCAATCCCCAGAATCTACATTAAAAAGCTAGCCTTTGGGCTGGAGAGATGGCTCAGCAGCTACAGGCTCCTGTCACCAAGCCTGGTGGCCTGAGTTCAATTCCTGTAACCCATGTGAAGTTGGAAGGAGAGAACCAACTCCTGAGAGTTGTCCTCTGACCCCACATTCTTGCCACAGTACGTGTGCACCACCACCCCCTGATGATTTTCTGTCAGCTGCACATGAATCTACTGATATTTTAATTATCGTCTGCAGCCCCGCAGCCCCACAGCCCCACGGCCCCACAGCACCCTGCCAGCCACCAAGGCCACAGCCTGGAGGGACTTCCTGTCTTGGGCTCAAAACTTGTAGGTTTAAACTAACTCTCTATTGTTCTATTTACCAACAAATACTCGGAAGTCAGATGTGGGAGTGAAAACCTGCTAGATCAGAGAGGCCGAGAAGCAACCAGCTGACCTTCCTTTTTGGCTGGAGATCCAGCAAGAGATGTGTCTCTCCACTTGTCCCAAACCAAAAAAAAAAAAAAAAAAAGCCAAACTCCAAGTCGCACCCTCTCCTTGCTGTTTCTCTACCCATAGTCCTGGCTCCTCTATGGCTAATTCCGGTTGGTGAGTTGCTGGCTCTGCCCCCCGATTCAAGGTTAACTTTATTAACACACTCTTGGAGTGTCACAATTCGGTCACCTATCCTGCAACATCCCTGCCCCCAGCTGGGTGTGGTGGCCTGTCCTTGTAACCCCAGTGCTGAGGAGGCAGAGGCCGGAGGGGCTGTCCCTGGGGCTCTCTGGCCAGCCAGCCTAGGCTAAGTGTCAAGCTCCAGGACAGTGAGGGACCGTGTCTCCAAAAACAAGGCGGACAGCTCCTGAGGAATGACACTAAACGTGTTCTCTGGACTGCACACACACACACACACACACACACACACACACACACACACTCACACACACACTCACACACTCACACACACACACTCACACACACACACACTCACACACACTCACACACACATACACACACACACTCACATACACACACACACACACACACACACACACACTCACACCCATATACATGTGTTACCTGTGCACCCATAAACACACAAACACATAAAAAAGAAGGAAGGAAAGAGGGAGGGAGGGAGGGAGGGAGGGAGGGTAAGGAAAAGAGGAAGAGGAGAGGGGAGGGAGGGGAGAGGACAGGAAATGTCCTATTTTCCTGAAGAGTGCCCGAGGGAGACTGGATTTTGTCCCCACCGTGACTGTCCGTCCCCACAGCTCCTGCCGAGCCCTGTATCTCCATCTTTTCACCCCAACTCATTGTCTGTTTGAACTTCAGTCTAATTTCCTGCAGCCCAATGAAGTTCAGGTCGTTCCGTTTTTTAATATAGTTTTACAAGTCAGATAACCAAGTAGCATTGGTTAGATGAGTCCTTGGTTCCCTGTAGGATAGAAATCAGACACGGATCTGCTTTGAAGTGAAGGGGATGGAACACGTTCTACAGAAAAGCAGATGGGGAGGTAATCCAGCGGGCAGAGGAAGATGAGCTTCATGTCTTTTCAAGGAAAGAGATTTCTAGAGTGTGTGTTCACTCTGCACCTATTCAAGGTCAGGCTGTGTTAGAGCCCCACCCCCTGGGTGGAGATCCTCTCAGGGACAGTCCCTCAGTCACGTTTGTTTGTTGCCATCTTGGTCACTGCTCTTTTTTTTTTTTCTTTTGGTTTTTCGAGACAGGATTTCTCTGTGTAGTTTTGGTGCCTGTCCTGGATCTCGCTCTGTAGATCAGGCTGGCCTCGAACTCACAGAGATCCACCTGGCTCTGCCTCCCAAGTGCTGGGATTAAAGGCATGTGCCACTGCTTCCTGATTTGGTCACTGCTCTTAGTCAGTTTGCTGAAAGCTCCTTTCCCCTGCCTGCTTCTCTCAAGAGCAAACACCTGCCTGCTTCCCTGGCTCCCGTGGTGTGCTTGCTGTTGTTGCCACACACTGAGTGTCCTGTTGGTTTTTGTCAACTTGGCATAAGCTAGAGTCACTCAGGAAGAGGACA